CTGTCACAGCCCTGAGCACTTGCTGTCACTGAGGCTTCTCCCCCCTTGCCCCTTTTCAGCACTGCCGTCCTGGTACAGCAGGGCTGGTCTTGACCCTGTAGGGGCTGGGGGCTGCCCCAGGGCACGTAGGCACCAGGGGAAGGGGTGGCCATTGGCTCAGCTGTTTGGGCCTGTGCCCGCCCAGTGCTTCCCACAGCAGGGGCTTCTACTGCATCCCTTGATCTGAGAGTCTTGTGTCCTCCACTGCTAAACTGAGCTGAAAGGGGCCGCTTCAAGACGCCCAAGGAGATGCTGTTTGCCGGGTTTACTGGTCGGAGCGGCTGTGCCAGGCTGCAAAGCAGCGCTGCCCTGGGCACTGCACACAGCAGCTCCTGGACGCCCACCAGCAAATCCCTCAGGAGCCGTGGCAGCCACCCGGCCACACTGCGGCCCCATGCGGCGTCCGGGCCAGCCTCCGGCTGCTCCCCGCTGTCCACAGCCTGTTCCTGCCAGGGCTCTTCTCAGCACCGGGCCCTGGGGAGCCCTGCTGCTCACGGCTTCTCGCCTCCCCATGGAGCCGGCTCAGACGATCTGCCAGCTAACGCGTGCCCTGTAATGCAATTGCTAGGATCTGAGCTGCTCACTGCTGCCAGGAGAAGCAGGTATGTGGTGTCGGCTCGGTTACCCGCGGGCCAGACCTGCGCTCCTGCACAAAGCTCCACACCCGTGCGTTTGCTCACTGGCCATAGGAAGCCTGCAGTGATTCCTGGATGGACAGGGATGGGGATGCCTGTCATGGGGCACCCCTGGGGCATATGTGCCCACCTCCTGGCCAGCAGCATGGCATGCCAGAGCCCTCGGCTTGAGAAGGGTCTGCCTCTGCCAGAGGTTTGTACTCGAGAGCAAAAAAAAAGGTTGCTGATGCCTCCCCCTTCATGTAGATTGCCCTTCTCACCCTCTGTGCTTTCAAAAGTCAGATCTTCCGCTTCCCCCATTTTACATTTTCCCTTGTTCAGGATTCAGATCTCCCCAGCTCTTCTCCTTCCCCTCTCCCACTGGGAGGCAGGAACAGGCTTCCCTGGAGAAAAACCCAGGTCCACCCAGGTGTCTGCACCTCCGCCCTACGAAGCAGCCGCGGGGGCTGGGGGCAGGAGCGGCCAAGCAGGGCCATCTGCACAGGGGCAGCTGCGCGATACAGCAGCGCTGTCATCGTCCTGAATCACCCCATGCCTTTCCTGCAACCCCAGCCCGCCCGCTTCTGCAGAGCATCTTCCTGCAGGCGAGAGCCAAGCTGAACTGTGCCCAGGCACTTTGCAGCACGTGCTGGCCCGGGCGGGCAGGTTTCATGCTGTTTTGAGGTGTCTTTTGTCTGAGCGAGGCATAAAGGAAGCGAGAAAATATTTCATCTCTGTAGACATCTCTCTTATTTCATCTCAGATCACAGCATCTTCTCTGAGGCCTCCCACAGTCCACCAACCTCTCCCCAAGAAAGGAAACTCAAAGCCAGAAACTGCCCAGGGCAGTTTCCCAGTGAGATTATTTGTAGAAAAAGAAAAAGAAAAGAAAAACCAGAAATACAAGGCCACAGAGCCCCCAGCTTGCCTGCTGCGTGCACACGCGGGTGCTCAGACGCCAGCCACGCCGCGGTCAGGAGGAGCAGCAGGGTCACTGGAAACCTGCAGCCAGACACTGAGCTCCCTGGAAATGGGCTCGGGGAGAGCACACGGGTGTGAGGCTGGGAGCGCTGCGCGAGGTGCTCCCGGGTCAGAAACAAAAACGAAAGAGGGCAGATTGGCAGCAAGTTTGCTCTACAGAGCAACTTCTGAGAGCCCACGCTCGCTCAGAGAGGGGCGGGCACGGAGAGAAGCATCCAGTGCCTGGCACAGCATCCTCACAGCTCATGCTGGGCCCCTGGCTTGCTGCACGGCCCGGGGGGAAAGGAGCCAGGCAGAGGGCTGGAGCACCCGTGGGAGGCATTGTGTGTTCCCTACGCCAGCGATGGGTGAGAGAAAAAGGCACCTCCCGACTGCCCAGCTGGTCGATTGCTGCCCTCCAGGAGCCCCCGCCAGCTCCAACGTGGGGTCCGGCTGCGTGGGGGTGCTGCCTTGGTCTCCTCCTCCCCACCTCTCCCTGCGTGGAACTCCATGCAGGAGGAGAGCATGGTGGGCGGCACCTCTCTCCCCACTGGCCACAGCTCTGTGTGCGGCACTGGCTGTCCCCAAAAAGCCGCTGGCACTGCCCACCATGAAGTTGTCAGGTGCCCGGCGGAGGCACTTGCCTCTCCCACCTCTCCCGCAGGTGTCCTGAGGGCGTCCCCAGCAGCCCCACTCCCCCGGCCCACGGGGCACCCAGCAGCGGGACCAAAGCTCAGCAGGATGGGAAGAGATCCCGGGGTCACCTACCAGCAGGGTGTTGCAGCCATGGCAGCCAGCTTGTCCCTTTTTCCCCCTTTTTCGTCCTGGCAGCTCCCCAGACACAGGCCTGCCTGGGTGGCAGAGCTGGGGTGCAGGCAGTGCACGTGGGGCCAGGCTCCCGCCGGGAGGTGCTGCCCGCCGGGCCTCGCACCTCCCGCTGCCGGCGCTGGCGGGC